GTATTGGCTCAATGCGTAATGTGTTCAGTGAGTCTTGGTTCAGGAAAACTTCCAACGGGAGACTTGAAAATGTCCAAGAACAAAATGTAGTTGTCAGAAAATGTTCTACTGGTGCAGCTCTCATCACATGAACTCACATAAAGATTCATGAACGGGCAAATAAATAAAAAAACAATCTACAAGTTTGTAACTCCTAAAGAATTTCTCTCTGTTATTTTAAAAATGCTGCTGAACTATTTTTTTTAATCAGTAAATTCTACTTGCAGTAGTTGTTTTGCTTCAATAATCCAAAACGTGACCAGTACTTTTAACACATAAACTTAGCGAAGTAGCTTTGGTGCCAAACCAAATTAAACCAAAAAGGTTTAATGTCTAAAGTTCACCAAACAGGTTTGGTGCCTCAATTTAACCAAGTAGTCGTATTTGGTGGTCAAACTTAACCAAGTTGTTTTGCTGCCTGAACTTAATGAGGTAGTTTTGGCACCTAAACTAAACTCAGTAACTTTGGTTCCTAAACTTAACCAGGTAGTTTTAGTAGCTAGAGTTAACCAAGTAGTTTTGGTCCCTAATTTTAACAAAGTAGGTTTGACGTCAAAAGTTAACGAAAATAGGTTTGGTGTCAGAATGTAAGTTAGGCGCTTTGGTGTCTAAGCTTAGCCAAGTAGGTCTGTTGCCTAACCTTAACCAGGTAGTCTTAGTAGCTAAAGTTAACTAAGTAGTTTTGGTCCCTAATCTTAACAAAGTAGGTTTGATGTCTAAAGGTAACCAAATAGGTTTGTTGCCTGAATGTAACTAAGAGGCTTTGGTGTCTAAGCTTAGCCAAGTAGAAACTTCTCGAGGTAGTTCTGTTACCTAACCTTAACCAGGTAGCTTTGGTGGCTAAAGTTAACCAACCTTAACCTTAAAAAGGTACGTTTGATGTCCAAAGTTAACCAAGGGTCTGTAGGTTTGTTGCCTGAAGGTAACGACGTAATGTAAAACTAACCAGGTAGTTCTGTTGCCAAGTCTTAACCGGGTAGTTTAAACGTAACCGGACACCAACTGAAAACACAAATGAACAGAGTGAAAAACAGAGAAAGTGTAACTGAGACTTCAGTGGAAGAATAAATCAAGTCATCGACGTGTCGGTTCGTCTGTTTCCTGAGTCACATCGTTGTTCTGCTGATAAGGTCACTTCTCAGTACGACGACTCCAAAGTCCACAGATCTGGATCCAGGCTGGTTCTGAGTTCTGCTCCCAGTGAGTCACTGTTTGGTCAGTGTCTGCCTTCATGCCGAACACTCAGAGGATGCCATGTGTGATGCTTTAGCTCAGCACAATAAGACAGTAATGTAATTACCAGAGGAGCAGACATTTGGTCTCTGTCAGACGCTCTGCTCGGCATTTTTCCGCTGTGATCCGCTGGGTCAGATTTGGAGAGAAATCTGCTGGATTGCAGGTTTGTGAACTCGAGTGTCGCCCCGCCGGGAACCCGAGCTGGGAGTCTTTGTTTGGTTAGTTATCCTGCGTAAAAAGAGAAACTTGCCAAATAAGAAAAGGGCCTCAGGAATGCAGCGTCTCTGGCATCCGAAGCCGCCTGCAGCACGACCGAAGGAGATGTTCGTCTTTAACAAATATCACAACACTCTGCATGTATCGTGAAACGGGCCGCCGCTAGAACGACATTCACAGATGTGGATGTAATCTCAGGCGGTGGATCCAGAGGGAGGCAGATGCTGAGGTAATTTATGCTGCTAAACTCCACTTGGATGCGTGTGCAGATTGTAATGCAGTAAATTGATGAGCTGTGGATCCAGGGGGGCGGTCCTCCCAAGCCAAGTTTTAACAGAGCAGCGAAACGTTCCAGTAGATCAGAACCAGAACACATGGGCGTCTATCTGAGAGGAACAGAGCAGGTTGTTGGGTTTGGAGTAGAACCTACGAGGTCATGTTTGGTGGCTGATCCTGATTCACAGGCTTTTCCCGTCTGACTGCAGAAACATCCAGATTACCTGCTGATCTTTGTCCCTCATTGTCCTCAGATCTCAGCCTCTTTACACCACATTACACATGAAGTCCCCGGATAATGACATTCTGGTGCAATAATAGCAAAGTTTTTTGATGTTTTAGTGAATTATTAAAGAGTTTATTGATACATTTGTACATTAATATCCGAGTTATTGATAATTTGGTGCATTAATATCCAGGTTTTAGACATTTTGGTGCACTAATATCAAAGGTTTTTGATGTTTTAGTGCATTAATATCCAAGTTATAGACACTTTAGTGCATTAATATCCAGGTTATTGATAATTTGGGACATTAATTTTCAGGTTTTAGACATTTCGGTACATTATTATTTATGTTTTATAGATTTTGTTGCATTCTTATCCAGGTTATTGGTGGTTTGGTGCATTGACATCCAAGTTTTTGCCACTCTAGCACATCAATATCCAGGTTATAGACACTTAAGTATGTTAATATCTTGATTGTTGACATTTTGGTGCATTAGCAACCATTTTTTTTTATAATTTGGTGCATTAGCATCCAGGCTTTGACTTCTTGGTGTGTGCATATCCAGATTATTGACACTCTTGGTGTCTTAATATCCAGTGTTATGGACACTTTACTTCACTAACATTCAGGTTATTGATACATCGGTATGCTAGTTCCCCACTTTGGTGCTTGTTGGTGGATTCATTTTGAGGATGTTTCCACTTTGTTTTCATGTGAGCTGTAAATTGACCATGAATCCCTTAAAGGCACCGTTCACACCTCAGAAAGACGATAACCTCACGAGTTAGAGACATTCGAAAGATCATCTCTGTCATGAACAGTTTAAAAGTTACTTGATGCTTTGTGGAGTCATGGAATCGTCATACTTTACAGCACACAGTCCACGCTGTTGTTCGCTGACGGAGTGTAAGAGCCTCATTCGATGGTAATTTACCAACTCAGCCCAACACGATGCTTTCATTCAGCGAGCTCATAAAACAGTAGCGTATATAGTTTGTACCTGACAGGAAGTGGACCAGCCATTTGGACGGAGAGAAGCCACTTCCTGCAAATGCAAACAGAATTTAAAGGTGGATGGACGACAGACAGTCGAGGATTCTGGTCGTCTCTGAGTGGCTGAGCAGGCTGCCGTCTGGTGTTACCTTACCTCTGATTGGTGGAGATGAATTCAGACTCCTGGGAACAGATACAATTATCTGGGCTGCTGTAATGACGAGCACGAAGCAGCACATCATCTTTACCCGTCTGTTTAGAGAACGTCAGCAAGCCGAGGTGGATGTAAGATGAATGCACGAGCTCCACCAGCAGCTGGAAAACAGAGGTGAGCTCCAGCTGCAGGAAGTCTGCGGCTGTTTTCTGAAGGATGGTTTGATGGGAACGCTTCCAAGCGCAGTTTGTAGGAATGTCTCTGGTGTCAGCTCTTCATATCTGCCATCTGCTTCGGATTCTTCACGCAGAGACGAGTGTTTGTCTGAGGCTGCAGAGGTGACAGATTACGGCTTCATTTCTTTGTGTCGGCGGAGGATTCAGACCTTCAGTGATGTTTAGTGTGAACCACTGAAGTTCAGAGGAGGCTGCAGTGTTCCTCACAGTCAGTAGATGGAACAAACATCTGGTGATTTCTCTGTCAGCTCCAACCTCGTCTCACGTAGAACGGTCTGACGGCAGCTCATCACCGCTCTGCTAACAGGATAAAAACAACCTGGCTCTCTAAGCTAACAGTCACATTGGACGGAGCTACGTCCAGGATGCAGTCACGGTGTCCCTGCAGAATAAAGAGGCGGGACTTGTCTTGGTAGAACATTTGAACTGTTATTAAAATGGATGATTCCCCAAAAGAACCAAGCAGGGCTGCCTCACTGCCCAGTCCTGCTGCTCGGGCGTTGTTGTTGTTTTGCATAGTGAAGGTGAATTTAAAAGTGCTAAAGAGAGGAGGAAGCTGCGTGGAATGCCAAACTTATACCCAAAGTCTACATCTAGTAAGTCTCCAGAATGTCTCCCAACACCAACCCATAGACTCTGAAAAGGAAGTCCTCACCAGTTCCTCAGTTCAAGCACTAAAAAAAAACTCAAAGCATCTTCAAGAACCAACAACAGTCCAGTTGGTTTTTACCAAAGCGCTTCTTTATGAAGTTTGTTGTCTTGATCTTCCTGAAGGTGTTGCATGATTGATTAGTACCCAAAGAATTTTTTTTTTATTGTGCAAACGTTTGCAGTTTGCATGTTCAAGTTTTTAGACGACGCTGCAGACGAGCTTCAGAGTTCTGTCTGCAGAAGATATTACTGAATTCCTGGCCTCCATCCTGTGATTAACGTCTATCTGGAGGAATAGATTCTCCTGGTCTTCGTCCCCGTCGCTACCTTGACCTCCTTCTTCATCCTCCGTCTTGTCTCGCCGCTGGTGTCCAACATTCTCTGGCTTCCTGCTGTGATGAATGTCTATCAGAGGACCCAACAGCTGAGGAATCTCCTCCATCATCTGCTCTCAGCGCCTCCGTCCAGCCTCCTTCTCCCTCCGTCCTCTGCGCAGCTCTTCGTCTTCGAGTCTTTTCCTCAAATCCTTCCTCGCTTTCTCTGCGTCTCTGTTCAGCATTTGGGCCGTTTTCTTTGTTCAAATTGTGACGAATGTCGGTGATAATTGTTCCGTCGTCTCTCCGTCCTCCATAAACTTGTAATGGATGTTTGTCAGAGCTCCAAACAGCTGTGCAGTCCTCCCTCCTAATCTCCTCCATCTGTCTTTTCTGTTCCTTCTTCCCTCCATCATTTCTTCGCCTCCCGCTCTGATCGATGTTTGTCAGAGTCGAGGATTTCCTTCTCACCTCCTTCACCTTCTGATTGAGTTTCACTCCTTCGTGTTCATCAAGTCGACGGATGAACTTTTGCAGTCTCACCTGAACATCCATCAGCCTTTGTCATCATTTGACTTCATATTAAAAGTCAGCAGATATGTTTTTATGTATCATCCCGTCCTCTGACTTCGTCTGTCTTTTGTCTTTCCTCCTACAGTTCGGTGGCGGTGCTCAGAGAATGCATGAAGAACGAGAGTCTGGTTCGATTCTTCCAGGAGAGACAGACGACTCTGAACCATTCGTTACCTCTGGAGACGTACCTGCTCAAACCAGTGCAGAGGATCCTCAAGTACCACCTGTTACTGCAGGTAAGACTGCAAATACTACCAGATACTGCATGTAGGACCTCAGATAGCGACTTCTCCTACAGGTACCACCTCAAAAACCATCAAATACTGCATGTGTCATCTCAAATACCACTTTTTACTGCAGGTAGCACCTAAAATACTACTAAATACTGCGTGTAGGACCTCAAACACTACCTGCTACAGGTAACAGCTGAAATACTACCACATTTTTCATATAGCTCCTCAAATACCACCTGCTAACACTCTGAATGCCATCAAATACTGCATGTCGGACCTCAAACACTACCTGCTACTGCAGTTAGCACCTCAAGTACTACCAAGTACTGCATGCGAGACATCAGATACCACCTGCCAATACAGGTGACACCTCAAAAACTATCAGATACGGCCAGTATCACCCCAAATACCACTGGCAACCACACATTATACTTCAAATACTACCAACTGTGGCATGAATCAAACACCAACTGCGAGCTAACTGTGACAAATATAGCTTAAAATACCAAATACTACATGTAGTATCTCTTAGCACCACCTATGAGTGAACATAAATCCTCAGATTCTACAAGCAGCGTCTGAAATACTACACCATCAGTATTGCAAGTGGTGTTTCAAGTAGAAAATAATACTACAGGTGACAAAATACAAATTGTAGTGTGTCAAATACTGTATGTAGTACCTCAAGTACCTCGTAGGAGTATGCATAACTTATTAAAAACTGCATGGAGGACCTCTAGTACCATCTGGTACTACAGAGGACACCTTCAATACCACCAAATACTGCATGTAGGACACTGAGTACTACCTGCTACTACAGGTAACTCCTCAGATGCTTCACACCGTCCCTCAGAAGCAGCAGAAGAACCTGAATGATGTTAGATTCTGGTTCCGTCCCAGAGAGCCGGACCCGATCTCCAGGCAGCAGGTTCTGTTTCACGGCATCAACACAGCGTTTGGCCGAAGCGGCAGCAATAAATTAGTTTCCTCTCTGAGTTAGAAACGGAGTCGGAGGACGACTGAGGACACAAAGTGTTTGACTGCAGAGATGAAGAGCGAGTCCCAGATGTGAGGATTTAACTCTGGTCCGGACGATAAAACAAGCAGCAGACGCCAGCGGGTCGCAGATGAACCACGACGAACCGACACACTGCAGCTCACTGGTTGAGACTGAACCTTTGATCCAGTCAGGTTCTGCAGGTGAACCTTATTAGTGAACCAGTGATCCCAGGTCTGAGCAGTGATGTGATTCATTAGCAGTAATATGAGGCTGTTGGATGTTTAGAAACACTTCCTGCTGTTTCACACGGAAACGTTGAACAGCTCCAAAGTGCAAAACGTAATACAGCCGTGACTCGATGATCCGACACTAAACGTAAAACCTTCTTTATGTCGGATATCAAGGCTGTCGGATTGTCCAGACGGAGGTCCAGATACGAGGAGGGCTTGATGCTGGAAGGCTCATTAGTTGTTCATTATTGTTCATAGTTGTTATAATAACTAGTGTATTGTTAGAACAC